AGTTTCCTTTGTGAGTTCAAGAGTACAATATATATATATTTGGTGTTTTCCTCTCCACCACAACACTAGGGCGTTGCTAGTTTGTTCTTGGTTGTTGCTAGGTGGTTTCTATCCCAAGTCAAAAGATCCCCAAGTAAGAGCAATAGCAACAATATGCTCCTGTTCCTGCACTGCTAATAATAAATAACTTCATAAACGTCTGGTGTTACATATATTAAATTAAATAGACAGACAGACAGACAGACAGACAGATAGACAGATAGATAGATAGATAGATTAATAAATGCATGCAGGCATACATACATACATACTAGTTACATCACTTAAATAAATAATACATTTTTAAAACAGAATGGGGTCATTAAAATAAAATAAAATAATAATTATAATAAAACTTATAATTAATAAATAAATGCATACATACATACATACTAGTCACATCACTTAAATAAACAACAACTATAATAATAATAATAATAATAATAATAATAATTATTATTATTATTACTATTATTATTAAAATAAAACTTAACTTAAAGAAATAAAAACTTACAAATAAAACTTTTATTCAGAAAGGATGCATTAAATAGAGCAAAATTACAGTAAAGACGTTTACATTTAGTGAGTCACATTGTGGGAATCTCAAACATAGGAATAAATACAATACAACTATTTGTGCTTAAAAATATTAAGTACTATTTACATGAACTAAAATAAATGTTTAGTTCAACATACAAACAAACAAATAAATACCAACATAAAATGATGTTTTAAAAAGAAAAAGTTATTTATGCATAAAATACATTCACTACCATTCAAAAGTTTGGGATCAGTTCAGCAAGGGTTCAGCAAGGATGCATTAAATTGACCAAAAGTGACAGCGAAGACTTTTACATCGTTTAAGCAAGATAAATTGTGGGAATCTCATACATAAGCATGATTAAATCATGAATACAGCTATAATTGTTATTGACTAGGGAGGGGACAACTGTGAGTGCTATTAGATGCATTGTGGCTATGTGAGAAAGTTTGTATTCAATTCCCATTTCCACCTATTGTGATGAGAGCTGACAGGCCTCCACATGCACTGACTCACTCCTTGAGCGCCGCTGCATTGAATGTGGAAGTGTGAGAGTGTGAGCTGGTCTCATGGGCATGCAGCCCTGCTGAGGAAGCTCACCATGAGACCCATACCGCTATAGGTGCTCCATTGTACCCTTCGGTCACTGCTGGAATTCCTCTCGCGATAGCGGGGCTAAAATTACGGCATCAGCCGTAAAACCTCTCCTTGAAAAGCTGTCATCTCTTCCCACACGTCTTGAAATTATGTTTGTTGAAAACTCACACAAGTTCACCATCAGCCCGATGGAACAATCATGTAAAAGTTTCCATCTGGCATGGATGAGTTCTCCGTTCATATCCGTGAAATAATAAACACGGAGGTTTGAGGGAAAAGTAGATGTCTTTGTGTTTTTACCTAGTCAGCCAGATGTAGAGTGACAGAGATAACAGGATCTTTAACAGATAGGGTCAAGGATAGGAAAGCTGAAATAGGAGGATGTGGAGAGTGTAAGTACAAGAAAAAGAGAGAGAGAGAGAGAGAGAGAGAGTAAAAAACAAAGGACAAAGGAAGGAAAAAAGAGGTGAGAGGGCACGTCCGCTCCTCAGCTTTTGTCTCAAGAGTGTGCGTGTGCAGCCAGAGACATCTTCACCCTGCCCACACTTACACTCTCAATTCATATTTCCTTTCATTTCTACACAAACTATACAAATGCTTTTAGCATATTGTGGGCCTAACCATTGAGCATCCAGATTAAGATTCATCCAGATTTCTCTAATTCTACTTTTCTGGACTTGTCTTGTTTGAGAAGAGTCTGCATGGAATATTTATACTTTAAGTAATATTTAAATAAACGTATAAATAAAATGAAAAAGAAATGATTACCACACAACACTTAAATAATCTAATTTCTCTTATATAAAATCAGCTTAAAATATTAAAAGCATAAAAGAAAAAATAAAATGTATGCAAATTATATCTATATCTATA